ACAACATTGCGCGTAATAGCCCTAAAATGAGTTATTCTAAAATATTTAGATTTAATACGTAGAACAAATAATAAGTTGATTTTGTAAGGTGTGAGATTTATTTGGCCATTTTAATGAGTTTCTAAAATCCCGCTACGGAATGCCTAGTTACAATTCTATCATCCAACTTAAATTGACCAATATTATTATATAATCTCAAATAACATAAAATTAATTTAAGTATGCTAGGAATTTGGAATTTGTTTTCGCATGCTTGTATTAGATATTTTATATGAAAGATGAGTAATGTAATGTGTTTATATATCTGCATCTCAGTGCTTTAAGTTTTTAAATATTGTGAGCAAAATTATTAGTTTTGTTATATGATCATTTTGAAAGATACACTTAGTTGGAATGTTCCGACATTAGTTGATAGTTGTCCTTAGTCTCTTACTTGCTCAATCACATATTTCTTTCTGTATTCCTATTGTCCTTAGTATTTTCTCATGTTTGAATCATTAATGATTATGTCCTATTGAGCTTTCTTTTCATTTGATTTTATTTGCATGGTGAATTGTATTTTTACTATTTCGTTCTTTAGATCCTAAGATTTGGCGCTACTTGTTATAATCCACTCTAATGTATTTGTTTAGGTATTTTTGTCCTTCCCTTATCTTTTTTTTTTCATGTGGTTGGTATATTTTGGATAGAGAGCTGGTTGAGTCGGATATAATGGATATTTAGGTAAATATTGATTTTGGATTAAATTTGGATTTGAATATTTATCCTAATTTACATGGATCTTTGTATTCCACAAATTTATATTTAAAAAAATGATTATATAAATTAGAGGCTTAAGTATATTATTTAGATTCTGTTGTCATCCAAGTGGTGTGCTGTCGGCCAAGCCATGTGCTTTTTAGGTCTCAAGGTGTAACAAATGTGATATATTATAATTTTTTACAAAAATTCTATTGGCAATGGCATGCACCCAATATAATAGTGATAAATCAATAAAATTGGCGGTTTTAAAAAAATTTGTGCAAAATGCATTAACATAAAATATCAACTTGAAAACACACAACTCCAAGATTGTAAAAATTCAAAAGAAAAATAATACTCTAAGAACCCAACTACAAAAATCTAGTAACAACAAATGAAATCTAAAATCAGATCCAAAACGAACCACTTTGGATCTAAACCATAACTAAAACTAACGCTTAGGAAAATCTTTTGAGTACATAAAAGGCTATAAGATGATCTCAAAGACTTTGGCTCTGTTTGGCAAAACTAGCTGAAAGCTACGAGATAATAGCTGAAAGCTGTTAAGCTAGCTGAAAGCTGTGAAATTGTAGCTGAAAGCTGTTAGCTGTGTAGCTAGCTGATTGACTAGAGCTGTTTGGCAAAAGTAGCTGTACAACTAGCTTAAATTTGTTAAATGACTAAAAAAGACATGCAATATTATTGATATAAAATTAGAATTATTATGGGCAAAAACGGAAGAAAAAAATTGGCAGCTCCTTCCCAAAAACAAACGCTACTTGAGGTAGCTTTCCAAAAGCTACTTGCAAAAGACACAATCTCCAAAATAATCTCCTCCTATTTTTGGTCACCAAACAGCTCTACTAGCTTATTGACCAAGTCAATAAGACACAAGCTCATAGATAAGACAATTTTTTTTGGTTGCCAAACAGTGCCTTTGTAAAAGTTCTTGCAATTTGAGATTATGGTTCATCATCCAAGATATTCTAAAAGATTTCATAAAATAACTTATGAGGTTCAAAACAACTAGCATGACTTAAAAAAAATCTGTTGTCGACATGCAACTTGGACAGAGAAATACTAATACTAGAAAATAAAATATCTCAAGGATTAAGCTAAATCTAAGACTGTTGATTGAGTCTAAAAGGTAGACACTAATAACAGATAAAAGAAAAACTTTATTAGGAGACATGAAACGTAATGTTGGATCTGAAATGTAAGTCTAGAAAGGGGGAGGATGAAAAGGGTAGCTATCGTTTTTCACTAAAAACACAGAATATGAAGAGGAATACATGATATAAACTTGAATAACAACCAACCAAGTATACACAATATTCTATAATGGTATGGATAGCAATTCTATCTCTACTCTTCCTCTCATTAAGGAGCTTTCTCATTATGCTAAGACTTTGTAATACGTACATGCTAATTTTAGAGCTTGTTAGCTATTAATATTTGCTAAATTTGCTATTATAACAGCAACAATAATAAAGTCTTTGTTATACAGGGTCACATCCATTATATATTATGGCACATCTCCTCGATTAAGTTCACCATAATCATATCCTTTTTAATTGTTCCTAATCAAGTTATTTTAGGTCTATCCCTAGATCTCTTTACTTCATTAACTATAATAGTATCACCTTTTCTAATTAGTGCATTAAGAGATCTTTGTTATACAGGGTCAAACTACCTTTAATTGATTCTCCCTCATTTTCATGGGTAAAACCCTGCTGGTTTCAATCTATTTCCTTAGATTCTTAAAGACTAGCATTGTAAATAATAAACTATCCATTTGATAAACTTGTGTACTGCATATGAAAATCAAATTATATATTTAACTTGTGCATCATAATAATTTAGCCTTGAACCTTAGTATAGTGTGTACCCTTTGCATGTGGCTTTTGGACAAGAAAAAAATGAAGTGACTCAAAGGAAAAATATAACAATTAAAAGTAAAACATGAATAGTAAATATATTATTTTGTTTGTAATATTTCCTCCATTGCATTATTTTATTTATCAATTTATGCAGTGGCTTTAGTATTAAAATATTATCCTTTTCAATTCATCAGAAGAAAGAAGCTTAGCTTCTATAGGATGATGTTAGTAAAATTTGTATGGGGTGAACCTAATCTACTGAATTAAAGAGTCCATTATGATTAATATCATACTTTTCTTATCTGTTCAATCTCCGTTAGTAATCTGAATAAGGAGTTTTCATTGTGTATAAACCATAAGCACAATATTTTTCTTTTATTTTTTGAGAAAACTTTATTTGTAAATTTAGTTTTAACAAGGAGGTTTTTAATTTATTTTTAGTTTTTATCAAAAAAAATTTTGTTAACAATAATTTATATTTTCTATCAAACAAATTAGTCTTGCTAAAATTCTAATATTTTCTTAATTCCATATCTAAAAAAGTTAAAAAGCCTATTAATAGGTTTTTAAAGAAAATAAAGTTGAGTGAAAAGATGAAATATTAATTTATATTTTCCAAACCTGATATTCTTCAATAGTCTCAGCTCAGATAGGAATACAATAAATAATGTGTTTATAGTTGTACAATATAGATTCTCTTGCCTTCTCCTCTCTAAACAATCTGTATAATGATTAAATACTTATTAAAAAATCTTCATTTCTTTAAAAAATTCAGTAAGAAATTTAGAACTTTTCTTAATAGATTGAAGAAAAGAATTGTGATGCTCACTGATTTCCTGTGGTGTTTTATTTTTCTTATTAAAATACTGAGATTGATGAGATAAAGAGAAAAATAGTGTGCTCATGAATTATGCATAAAATTCAAGCTCCTTACTAAAAATATATTTAAAATATTTTAATGAATTATGAAATAAAAACTTCATTAAAAATAAATTCCATATTAGAATTTTATTTTTTTTCTTAGTTTGTATTGATATATGAGAGTTCCGACCGTAAAATGAAATTAAGAAAGTTGCATATAATATTAGAAAAAAAATAATATTAAGTCAAATATGCAATATTAGTAAAGAGAAATAGTGAAGGCAACAAAACATACTTGTTAAAGGAGATGCTAACAAAGGGGATTTTGAAACAGTAGGAGAAATTGTTATAAAATTATGAAAGTTAATATATACAAGATCATCATTGAATCAAATGCACAATATTACTAAAGAACAGACATGTTGAAGGAGACAAAATTGCTATAAAAAATTGCATAATTTCATATTTTATATATATAAGTATGAGATATTGCACATGAGAGACACTTTTAAAAAGAGTAAACAATTGAAAAACCTGATTTATACTTAAATTAAATCCGTTCACATGGGTATTGTTTTATATCAAGAAAATCAAATCTTAATACAAGTTTTAATTATATATTTAAATCAAATATGATGAGCTTATAGTGTATACAAACACCAATATAACCTAGTCAATGATATTAATCTTAATATAATTTTTAATTAACATAACCTAACCGATAATATAGTTTTTTATTTTATACTTAAATCATATGATGAGCTTATAACGTATACAAGTATCAAGATAATCTAGCCAATAATATAATTTTGATGATGAGCTTCTAGATATAAAAGTATCGAGGTATATAGCCTAGCCAATAATATTGGAATCATTTTATTCACATATAATACTATCAAAAGTATGTATTATTTAACTATTAATTAGAATAAGATAGAATATTGAAGCTCATGCCTATTAATTAGAATTTTTAATTAAGATATGATAATATTGTAATAACAAAATGGGTTCAAGATATTTTTGTTTAGGAAAAAAAATTTCCCAAACTCTCACTTTTAAAGGGAGTATAATATAATATAATTTAGACTTTTATAATCCTTTCTACCTTGTTAAATTCACAAGTCACTGTACGGTAATCAACCAAACAATACCTCACCTGAAAAGATAAGTGGACAGCAAAAAATTACAAATTTAATTTCAACTAGTATGCAAAACGTGTGTTGCGCGTGATGTATATTAAGAAACAACATGACTCAAAATCCATAATATTTCCATAATTATGCATTGAACTTGTACACAATACACAAGATGAATGCCAATTAATCATTATCTCACAAGACTTAGAATATTGTCCATAGAGAAGATACCTAATCAACCATATATATGTTGCGCGTAATAAAAGTGACTGCACAATTAAGAAGAGGTAAGTTGATCTTAACTTCAAATAACTAATATTCAACATCACATTACAAACCAGGAAAGTATTTGATTAGCATAGCGATATACATACAATGAGAATAAAAAAGAGTCAACATGATAGCTTGCAAATATAGCTTTATTGTTGAAAGCCAATAATTAAAAATAAATAATATTTCTTACATATAACAAGAAGTTAATGAATTTTCAGCAATATACAAGTTTTCTGGAAGAAACATCCTTTTATGCATACATAAGATCACATACTCGCATTACTGGCAATATAGTTCCTCAAATAAGGCACTTAAATTCCTACAAACCCTAAAAACCTCTGTATTATTTTTTGGAAGATAAAGTATAGTTGCAATAATAAGTACAAATAAAAATAAAGTAAAATTATACAGTACAATGTCAGAGTTGTACCTCTATTTTCAAAGGTGAGGTTGTCGGTGTATATATTTTCACGACTTTTTCATCTTTGTCCACAAAGAACTTAGTGAAATTCCACTTAATGTCATCACCTAAAGAACCTCCTTTCTTTGATTTCAAGAACTTATAAAGAGTAGTAGCCTCCTTTCCATTCACTTCAACCAATAAAAAAAATAATGAGTCAGTGACATATAGTTACATGAAATTTTCTTCTAGAACAATGGCAACATAGTGAAAACTTATGTTGCATATTTGCTAAGTGCAAGGGAGATCTATAACTAAGCCAAAATTTAAAGCTAATAATCCTGTCGTGTGGAAATTAACACTGTATTTTTTTTCCAATCACGCTACCCATCAAAAACCAGATCTAGTTAGTTTGAAGATATTCATATTCTGATCATCTTTGCAACCTTTGTTGGATTTTATTTGAATTATTTTTCCTGATGAAAGATAATGATATATAGACAAGAATAAATTTGTAACAATAACAGCTAAGTGCAAAGCAAATTAGAGAGCTAAGAGTAGAAGAAAGATTTTCTTAAAGAAAGTTTAATAAACAAATGCACAAAAAAAGATCATATCTTTTTTTATACATACCAAATCAAACGATACAGTAGCAAGAAGGAACAGACTGCATTTTGTCTCAACATGTTCTAACCTTTGGTGTTGTCTTCAATGTTGTTCAGGCTTATCCTCGATTCCCCACAACTGCCTCTGCATAAATGCTCAAATGCTCAAATTGGACCTCAATCATTGGATTATCAATACCAACCCCCAAAACACTAAAAAAGTTACCCAATTAATCAAAAAAAAAAAACAAAAAACAAACAACAAACAAAACTTAATTCAAAATCTAATCTTTACCGCTCCATTCGATTCTTGAGCTTTAGCAAGAACCTTTCATTATCCTCTTTTGCAGTTTGTACCAACTTCTCAAGCAAATTTTAGAAATATGCATACATACAATTCTAAAAAAAAATTGTGAATGAGATGAACCAGATCATACCTACAGATATGCCTCATTATATAATGTTTTAAATTTAGCAAATTTCTTTTGATTCCTAATTAAAAACAATGAATGTTGTAGAAGAAAGAAAAACCCTATTAAATTTAGCAAATTTCTTTTGATTCCTAATTAAAAACAATGAATGTTGTAGAAGAAAGAAAAACCCTCAAGTAATATCAAATCAACCAATTCATCCTAATTAAAAACAATGAATGTTGTAGAAGAAAGAAAAACCCTCAAGTAATATCAAATCAACCAATTCATATATTGAATTCAGATGACGAAGGAAATCAAATCAAATAAGACTAATCAATCTAAATCCTTCAATTGGTTAATCTGTACTGGTGATAATGTATATGAAGTGTGGAGCTAGTTCTGTGTCTTTTTATATGAGATGAACTTGTTACTTGTGTTACATCGTTTTCTCCTTTGTTACGTTGTTTTCTTGTGTCTAATGAATGAGGTTGGTAGAGGTTTTTGTCTGCTTTTCTCTGTTATTGCCTTAGAAATTTTAGATTAATTGTTGATATTTACTTGGCCTTCAAATATTTAAACTCATGTAGTTTCTTCAATATGTTATATAAGACTTCAGAATAACTAAACAGCTAGCTATCATAAGCAAAAGTGGTACACCATGGTATAATGAAAGATCTAATCTTTTTAAGGCGTGATTTTAGCAGGTGAGTGTGTCAAAGAACCACATGCTTAGTAAAAAAGATAAGTTACTATTTCTGTTTTGTGCAATCAACTTAAAATTTTCATGAAGCTAAGAAAAAGTACCTACAATAAGGAGAACTTCCGAAAAAGGATACTTCTGTTGACAACAAAGCTCTAGAAAATGGTTCAAGTGTGCTGCAAAAAGAGAGTCACCATATGAGTAATAATGGTTCAAAACATCCCATCATACCATATATGTTACTTGGCAATAGGCTTAGCAAGAGCTATCATATTATCAGTCTTATAAATAGAAATACATAAAAAGTAATGACTTTTGTTATACTCTCTTTCCCCACTCTCTTTATGTTTATTTTGTACATTTTACTCTAATTAAATAACAAAGTTCCTCGGTATCTTGCCCCGGTTACTAAAAAAACTACAAAATATAATATTTACCTATATTACGGGAATTTCTACAGATTTAACTTTATTTCTCTAAATTTTACAGGTACTACTTACATATAAGAAATCGGAACGCAAAGAAACATTCAAATAACTGAAACAAAATGCACAAGGAGTCAGGCAAATATAAGTATAATGAATGAAATAGAAGGCAAAATGCTCCAAGTGGGATTAGCTAATTGAGAAATAAAAAGAAACTACCTATCTAATTACCTAAGCTGAAGAAGACTGGGCTAAGAAATATGATGTTGTATCTATTAAATCCACTGCAAAGAAGTAGAGGAATCATACATGCTCGAAAGACCAGTTCATCTGTGAATGGTGCATGTTCAGTATAGGGTTGCCAACAATTAGTAGGTCTATGATCACTTTTAAAAGTTATTTAAAAAGTTATAAAAAAATTCAACTAAATGAAAGAGTAGACAATATGAGCATATAGAACAAGTATGATATGCAGATTACACACTACATGATGCAAATAAGCAAAGCATGCAAATGTTTCAAGATCTATAAAAAATCTTTGTTTGGATCATCATGATATGTATACAGAAGAAAACTCTACAAAATGCACATGATGCACATTAAAATTTCAATTAACACTAACTGCTTAATCAGTCATCCGCTCGGGCGCACAATAGTAAGCAATGCAAAAGGCACGCGTGATACATGTCAAAATTTCAATCAACATCACTCCAACATAAGATAGCTTAATACATATGAGAATCAGGCCCATACATTTATATTGCATTCGAACAGTTAAGCACAAGCGGGGGGATACTCATAATACAGGTCCAGGCTTCTAGGATGAATAAGTACAAACAAGTTCATGTCAATGACTTGTATTGATTATCTGTCTCTGGATGTGGGTTAAAGAATACATAGTGTACTTATAAATAGCGTATTAACCAACTGATCACCAAGCAGCAGCTAAATTAATCGATCAAATTTCTTGTACAAATGAATAAAGTAACATGCTGATAATTTATTACAATTGAGCTCAAAACATCACATCAAATCGAGAACATATATCTGAGTAAAATGATCAAAATCAAAGAAAACTTATCAATTTACCACAACATAATTACGCCAAGCCATCACATTATATAGCATTCCATACACCCACTCCCCAAAACTCTTCAAACCTCTCCGTCCGCTAATCACCAACCAAAACTCCAACGCCAAGGATCCAGAATACACCAACAACGTCAGCAAGAGAGGAAACACCAAAGCTCACCATTGTGGTAAAAGCGTTAAGTGTCCACAATTACCTCAAAATCACTCAAAAAACAAGAGGAATCAAGATATCAGGGTCCAATACCGTATGATCCACTCTAATTCCAAACACGCCAAAGAGCAAGGCCAAATCCCTAAATCTCCCGGCCACCCAAAATAAAACGGTGCATATAAATTTTGGGGGAATGAGGGTTTAGGGTTTAGGAACTTACTCCGATGATGGAGGTAGTGAGGGCGGCGGAGGTGGTGGAGGATACAAGGGCGCAGGCGAAGCGTCGCATCATGAAGTTATCGAGAGAGGTCGAAGGAGGGAGGCAGAGGAGGAGAGTGGGCGCATAGAGGATCGCCACGTAGGATAGCACCATGGCTGCGCATGATGCGATTGCTAAAGGACCGGAGATGTTGTGTGAGTTGTAATCAGTCCAAGGATTGTTAGTTAGTAGAATTCTAGTTAGAATAGAATACTAGTTAGTAGATAAGTTCTCTAGTTATTGGATAAGATTAGAGTTGTAATCTTAGTGTTTATATATATGTAAACAAGTCTTTATATTTCAAAAGCCAACAAGTGGTATCAGAGCCGGTGTATGCCTAAGTATCAACCAAGATCTGAAGAGATGACGAATTTGGAGAAGATGACGACCAAGGTGGGTTCCCTCTCTCTTCAATACCCGATGCTATCGAGGGATAACTATGCTTCGTGGGCAATCAAGATGAAAGTCTACATGAAGGCTCAAGACGTGTGGGATGCCATTGAGCCCGCGGCAGGCGCGTCCGTGGAACACAGGAAGGATCAGATGGCGTTGGCGGCCATCTACCAGGGGATTCCTGAAGAGACTTTGATGGTGATCGCAGAGAAGCAGACGGCAAAAGAGGCATGGGAGACGTTGAAAACAATGCATCTAGGAGCGGATCGTGTGAGGAACGCGAAGGTGCAGACCTTGAAGTCCGAGTTCGAACTTCTCCGGATGAAGGAGAATGACAACGTCGACGATTTTTCGACGAAGTTGACAGGAGTCGTCAACAAGATTCGGGCTTTAGGCGGCGAGATGGAGGAGAACTACGTCGTCAGAAAGTTACTTCGGGCGGTACCGGAGAGATTCCTTACTATCGTCTCCACGATTGAACAGTTCGGGGACATCGACGACATGACACTCGAGGAGGCGATCGGGCGCCTCAAAGCCCACGAGGAGAGGGCACGTGTTTTTCGAAACAACGTCGACGATCACCTATTGTTGACGCATGCGGAGTGGCAAGCAAGGAGCAAGAAGAACGGCGGAGGCTTCCTCTCAACACCTACAACAAATGATGGTGGCGGACGAGGTCGCGGTCGAGGAGGCGGTCGAGGACAGCAGTACCACGGCAGCGGACAGCAGTACCACGGCAGCGGACAGCAGTACCACGGCAGCGGACAGCAGTACCACGGAGGCCGCGGAGGGGAGCACGGCGGCCAGGCAGGCCGAGGCGGCTTCGGCGGCAGAGGAGGACGTCCAGGAGGTGGTTTCGGCCATGGAGGTGCAGCTCGCCAGGAGGGGGAGAGTAGCACAAGCGGTGGTCGAGACAAATCCAACATCAAATGCTTCAATTGCGGAGTATACGGGCACTTTCAGTCGGAGTGTCACAAGCAACGCCGCAACCATGAACAGGAGGCTCATCTCACCCGTGCATATGACGAGGAGCCAACCTTGATGATGGCTATGTTAGAGGAATCGTCAAGTGCTATTTTGCTTAATGAGGAGAAGGTGGTGCCGGATTTACTTACAGCGGGGGAGGCACATGTTGACAACAACACTTGGTATCTTGACAACGGAGCTAGCAATCACATGACCGGCCACCGAGACAAGTTCAAGGAGCTCGACGAGAACATCAAGGGAACCGTCAAGTTTGGTGATGGATCCGCGGTAGAGATCAAGGGGAAAGGCTCTATCCTCTTTCAGTGCAACAACGGCGATCAAAGGCTACTACCTGAGGTATATTATATTCCAAGTTTGAAATCTAACATTATTAGCCTTGGTCAGATGACTGAAGATGGAAGCAACGTTGTGATTTCTGGTGAGTTCCTGAGGGTGTTTGATAGGAACGGTGCTCTCTTGATGAGGGTGACACGTTCAACTAACCGATTGTACAGGATAGAGTTAAAGACTTGCAAGCCGGCGTGTTTGATGGCGAACATTAACGATCCAGCTTGGTTATGGCATGCTCGCCTTGGGCATGTCAATTTCTTCGCCCTCAAGATGATGACTGATAAGAGGATGGCTTCCGGATTGCCGAAGATCTTGCACCCGAATCAACTATGCGAAGGATGCCTTGTCGCCAAGCAAGCAAGACTGTCGTTCCCTTCGCAAGCAAATTTCAGAGCTCAGAAGCCGTTAGAGTTACTACATGCTGATCTATGTGGCCCAATCACTCCATCTACACTTGCTGGGAACAACTACTTTCTTCTTATCGTTGATGATTTCAGCCGATGGATGTGGGTATACATGTTGAAGGCCAAGAGTCAAGCTCGTGAAGCCTTCAAGAAGTTCAAAACAGAGGTTGAGAACGCATGTGACCACAAGGTGAAGACATTGAGGACGGATCGTGGTGGCGAGTTCTTGTCAAAGGAGTTCACCAAGTTTTGTGAAGACTACGGCATCAAGCGTCATCTCACTGCACCGTACACCCCGCAACAAAACGGTGTAGTGGAGAGGCGTAACCGCACGGTGATGGACATGGCGAGAAGCCTACTTAAGAGCATGCATATGCCTGGAACCATGTGGGGCGAAGCGGTTAGGCACGCGGTGTACATCCTCAACCGACTACCAACCAAGGCGTTGCACGACCACACACCCTACGAAGCTTGGTTTGGTAAGAAACCCCACCTAGAACACTTGAGAGTTTTTGGATGTATGGCGCATGTGAAGATTCGGAGCACGCCAATGGTGTATATTGGGGTAGAAGAAGGAAGCAAAGCGCATCGCCTCTACGACCCTCAACACGGCAGAATTCATGTCAGCAGAGATGTCGCGTTCGAGGAAGGAAAAGAATGGCAATGGAGCGCAAATGGAGACGACAAAGCACCCAACTGGACGGAATTCACAGCGGAAGGGGAAACTACAACAGCCGGCGGATTTCAATCCATCCAAACTGGCCGAACAGTCCCTGCAGGAACTCCTGCAGTCCAAACAGCCCCTGCAGGAACTCCTGCTGGCCGAACAGGCGCTGCAGCAGTCCGAACAGCCCCTGCAGGCGCTGCAGCAGTCCGAACAGCCCCTGCAGGAGCTCATGATGCAGTGGAGCTGACCGGAGATGAACCTGGACAGCCGGCACACCAAGCAAGGCAGCCACCTGCTACCCGAACCAGTCCACAACTTTCTGCAGGTCCAGAAACTGCTGCAGAGGCAGCGAACCCCACTGTCTTGGATGCGTACAGAACCCCTGAAGCTGCAGCAATGACTCTTGTACGCTATCGATCCATTGCGGACATCTATGCGGAGACGGGGGTGATTGATCTCCCGGCAGAGGAGTTGTTTCTCATCAATGAAGAACCAGCGAACTATCTTGAGGCCGCAACAGATCAAGAATGGCGGACTGCTATGGAGAAGGAAATGGAGGCCATCGAGAAGAACAAGACTTGGGTACTCATGGATTTACCGCGGGGTTCCAAACCCATTGGTCTCAAATGGGTGTACAAGCTGAAGAAGGACAATGAAGGCAACATTCTCAAGCACAAAGCAAGACTTGTAGCAAAAGGGTACGTCCAGCAGCAAGGCGTGGACTTCGATGAGGTGTTTGCACCTGTGGCGAGGCTTGATACCATCAGAATAATCCTCGCCATATCAGCACAGAATGGGTGGGAGGTGCACCATCTGGATGTGAAGTCGGCATTTCTAAATGGTGATCTCCAGGAAGAAGTTTATGTGGTTCAACCTGAAGGGTTCGTTGTGAAGAATCAAGAGCACAAGGTCTACAAGCTTTCAAAGGCACTCTACGGTCTACGCCAAGCACCTCGGGCATGGAACACGCGCCTCGACAAGTGCATGAAGGGCATCGGATTTGCAAGATGTACTCAGGAGCAGGCGGTATACACCATGAGTAACAGAGGGGATACACTCATTGTTGGCGTGTACGTAGATGACTTGATCGTTACGGGCTCGAGGGCGGATGAGATAAAGTTTTTCAAGCAACAAATGATGAAGGAGTTCGAGATGAGTGACCTTGGATTGCTTTCCTATTATCTTGGTATCGAGGTGGATCAGCGAGATGATTGTATTGCACTAAGGCAGGTGGCCTATGCGAAGAAAGTTTTGGGTCAGTTCGGCATGATGGATTGCAACCCGACCCAATATCCTATGGAAACAAAGCTAAAGCTTGGAAAGGATTCCGAAGGAACACCGGTGGACGTGACGGAATATAGACGCATTATCGGATGCTTAAGGTATCTAACTCACACCCGACCCGATATCACATATGCCGTGGGGATTGTGAGTAGGTACATGGAGCACCCTACAGTTTTGCATAGACAGGTTGTCAAGCATATTTTGAGGTACGTGAAGGGTACTATGTCCTACGGATTGGTGTACAAACGAGGTCGAGGCAATGAAGAGCTAGTGGGATTCACTGACAGTGACCTTGCGGGAGATGTTGATGACAGGCGCAGCACAGGCGGCATGGCATTTTATCTAGGTGACAGCTTGGTCACTTGGACATCACAGAAGCAGAAGACAGTGGCATTATGGCGGCAACTGCAGCAGCATGCCAAGGCTTGTGGTTGAGGAGTTTAATCAGCGAGGTGATTGGGAGTGAGCCCAAGCCGGTCACACTCTTCGTCGACAACAAGTCCGCGATTGCCTTGATGAGGAATCCAGTTTTCCATGGAAGAAGCAAGCATATCGACACACGTTTTCACTTCATTCGTGAGTGTGTTGAGCGGGGACAGATTAAAATGGAGTTCGTGAGCACGAGCGAGCAGCGAGCGGATATTCCCACGAAGGCACTAGCAAGGGTGAAGTTCATCGAGATGCGGGAGCTTCTAGGAGTAAGGGACTTGGAATCTCGTCCAGATTAAGGGGGAGAATGTGAGTTGTAATCAGTCCAAGGATTGTTAGTTAGTAGAATTCTAGTTAGAATAGAATACTAGTTAGTAGATAAGTTCTCTAGTTATTGGATAAGATTAGAGTTGTAATCTTAGTGTTTATATATATGTAAACAAGTCTTTATATTTCAAAAGCCAACATGTTGGTGGTCGACGCTGTCGCCGGATCATCGATCACCGGATCTATCTTCTCGTAGTCGTGGGTGATGTATAGCGAGTCAAGTGGAAAAAGTTTAGTGCTTTGGCTTTTGTGTGTGGCTTAATTGCACCTAAATACCCTATAGTTTCTCCTACTTTGCACTTATATACAGGGCCGGTTTTGGGCCTGTGCAGGGTGATCGACCGCACAGGGCCCCCAAAAATTGGGGGCCCCCAAAATAATCCCTTCACCCCTGATCTACCATTCATTTACTATTCCAATTAGATCTCAGCCGTCCATTCAAACTCTCACCCTAAAATCTTCAACCCCACACCCTCAGCAGTCAATCCCAAAACTCAGCCGTCAGCCCCCAAAATCACTCCCTCTCCTCCGTCTCCTTCCTCTCCTTCCTCTCTTCCGCCACAGAGTCACAGACCCCCCGTCCCCGACCCCCGAATCCGATCGTCGACTCGACATCGCCTGAGCTCCCTCGGTGGCTCGGTCCCTCCCCATCCAGAAGCAGGCAACGAGGAGCGAGGCGAGCTCTCTACCTCCCCCCACGATCGTCGACTCGTCGTCCGTCCCCGTCGCGTTGGGGTCCAGATCTCGCCGTCCGCCTGAGCTCCCTCGCCTGTGTTCTTCTCTTTTGGTGGGTTTTTCTTGATTTTTTTATTGGAATGTTTTTTTTTCTCTCTTGTCTTCTCTCTATTGACTGGTATGGGTTTGTCTCAGAATTAGATTTCTTTTCTTCTTCTCTTGTCTTATTCAAATGGGTTTTTCTTGATGATGGGAAATCTTGTTTCTGTTCTTTTGGGTTCGTGCATTTCAAATTTATCTTTGTTTCTTGGCTTTTTCTTGGTACAATATTACCTTTTTTCCGTGTGAAAATTTTTGTAACTATAATCTTTTAATTGCAGCATAGTTGGATTTTAGGATTTGGTGATTATTTTGCTCGAAAAGAGGAAGTTTGGGTTCATCGAGTAACTGCGAAAAGAGGGATTTTGGGTTCGTCGAGACTCAGAAAGATCATCAGGTAACTCTCCAAAAATTGAGAGCTTTCGGGCAAAAAAACCCTAATTTTAGTAGTTCAGGATCAAATTACTAGGTTAAACTGGTTGCTAATGAACTTTTTGGCTCTTTAACTTCAGGGATCACGGAGAGTCGGAGACGTCGTCAGATCAGAGCCCGCTTCAAATTAGGTTGTATTATTCTGAATCTTTTGACTTCTTTCAATTTCATTGTAGTATTTTTTGTTTTATTATAAAAATGCCTCCAAGAAAGTATTCTTCTGGATATGATAAACGCAAGAAAAAAAGAAAATTTGAACAATTTGTCCAAACTCAAAGTGGAGCGCTTGATAAATTCATTGTTAAAGAAACACAAGATTTAGTTGAAAATTCAATTGAAAATGATAACATTAATGATTTGGGCTTGAATGAATATGATAATGAAAATGTTGATGATCAAAGTAAAAATGAAAATGAAAATGAAAATGAAAATGAAAATGATAATGATAATGAAAATGAAAATGAAAATGAAAATGAAAATGAAAATCAGAATGAAAATGAAAATGAAAGTAAAAATGAGAATCAGAATCAGAATGAAAATGATATTGACAATGAAAATGAGAATGAAAATATTTTAGGCAATGAACAACCTAATCAGTCCATGCTTATGAATTTGAATATTTATGATCCAAGAACTTGGGATAATTTGGATTATTAGTGGAAAATGGCCCTATAAGAGATCTATTAGTCGAAAAGGGTCCTAAAGATAAATTAGGAAGATGTTTTTCTTCGGCATTTTACACTAGACATTTATCAAATTGAGAGAAATGTGATAGGGAGTGGTTAGTTTATTCAAAGGATATCGATAAAGTATTCTGTTTTTGTTGTAAATTGTTTAAAAATGGTTTTAAGAAAAACTTTTTGATAAATGAAGGATTTAATGATTGGATACATCTTAGTTCTAGGCTTAAAGAACATGAAACAACTAATGAGCACATCATTAACATGAGTACTTGGCTTGATTTACGCATAAGATTAAAGAAAAATAAAACAATCGATAAAAATATTCAAGAGCAAATTAACAAAGAGAAGGAACATTGGAAGAAAGTATTACAAAGAATAATTTCTGTTGTTAAATATCTTGCTAAACATAACTTGGCATTTCGAGGAACAAATGAGAGAATTTATCAAAATAATAATGGAAATTTTTTAGGCTTAATTGAAATGATTGCAGAATGTGATCCGGTAATGCAAGAACATGTTCGACGTATTGACCATGGTGAAATTCATTATCATTATCTTGGTCATAGCATTCAAAATGAATTGATAAGTATGTTAGCTTCTAAAATCAAATGTGCAATAGTTCAAAAAATTAAAGAAGCTAAATATTTTTCAGTAATACTTGATTGTACTCCGGATGTAAGTCACCAAGAACAAATGACTTTAATATTACGATGTGTCGATATTTCTACAAGCCCGATAAAAATAGAAGAATTTTTTATAGAATTTTTAAAAGTAAATGATACATCTGGACAAGGGCTTTTTGAAGAATTACAAAATGTGCTAAAAACTCTTAATCTTGATATTGATAATGTACGAGGTCAAGGGTATGATAATGGGTCTAATATGAAAGGGAGACACCAAGGTGTACAAAAAAAAGTACTTGAAATAAATCCTAGAGCATTATACACGCCTTGTGGTTGTCATAGTCTTAATTTAACACTTTGTGATATGGCAAATTGTTGTGGTAAAGCAAAAGACTTTTTTGGAGTGATACAACGTATTTATACATTATTTTCTCACTCAACAAAGCGATGAAATTTTTTGATAAATAATGTAAATGGTTTAACTGTGAAGCCATTGTCGGCTACACGTTGGGAAAGTTATATTGAAAGCGTTAAAGCAATTAGATTCCAAACGCTTGAAATAAGAGAAGCACTACTTCAGTTAGCAGAAACTGATAATGACTCCAAAATAAGGAGTGAAGCAGATTCTTTAGCAACACATGGAATTGGAAATTTTGAATTTTTATTAAGTATGATTATTTGGTATGATATATTGTTTGCTGTTAACTTAATTAGCAAATCTTTACAATCTAAAGACATGCTTATTGATATTGCTATAGATCAAGTAAAAGGATTGATTAGGTTTTTTGAGGATTATAGAGAAGTTGGGCTCACACAAGCTATGACAATTGCTAAAGAAATTGCTACTGAAATGGAAATTGATTCTGTATTTCAAGTAAAACGTCAAATCCGTAGAAAAAAACAATTTGATGAGAATGTTAATGAGGAGACAACACAATCAGCTGAAGAATCTTTTAGAATCAATTATTTTTTGTATATTGTAGATCAAGCTATTGGTTCACTAAAGAAAATGTTTGAGCAATATAAAGCATATGAAGATATTTTTGGATTTTTGTTTGGTTCAGAAAAGTTAAATTCATTAGATGATAATAATTTGAAAGCATGTTGTGATAATCTTGAAATTGTTCTAAAATATAAAACATTTTCTGATCTTGATGGGAAAGATTTATTTGGAGAACTAAAAATATTACGAAATATTTTACCAAAAGAAACAAAGATGGCTATTGATATACTGAATTTCTTAAAAATACGAAATTGTTTTCCAAATGCATGTATTGCTTATAGAATATTATTGACTATACCTGTTACAGTCGCATCTGCAGAAAGAAGTTTTTCAAAATTAAAATTATTAAAATCTTATCTGAGATCGACCATGTCACAAGAGAGACTAAATGGACTAGCTTTGATATCCATTGAAAATGATTTTATAGATAAAATTGATGTTCAAGGCTTAATTAGTGATTTTGCAGCTAAAAATGCAAGGAGGACTATTTTTCGATGATACTTTTTGATGCTAAAGGCTTCGATGTCTGATGAAGGTAAGCACAGATACAAGAGGAACATAATATGCAAGAATTTCTTATTGTGGACTGTTTGCTCTACTAGAAATATTTATTAAGGTGATATTACATGCATTTATTTGATCAATAACGTTTTATTCAGGTGACTGAAGAAATGAAGAATTGGCAATAGCACTTGAAAAGTATGTTAAAGACTATCCAGATGCAAATAAATCAGGTAACATTTTAATGTCTTGTTAGTAATATTTTGTTCACTAGCATTTTAGGGATTCAAATTGGAATTTATTGATATGTTGTATATAGAGATGTGTCCTATGTTTACTTTTCGCACAGGGCCCCTAAAATCTCAGAACCGGCCCTGCTTATATACCTTCACTTACCTTTAACAGCATTTATATACCCTAGGATCTTTAAGATTTGCAATTAAATACCTAACTTAATACACCACACCTTAAAGTTTTTAAGATTTGCAAGTAGGTACCCTAAGTTATCCAAACGAAATCGCCCCCTGAATTTTGCGTGTCACTGCTAATTTTGCTAAATTTACTATTCAAACTACCGTAATTCTAATTCAAGTCTAATTCTAATTCCGTTTTAAAATAGAATTTTTATCGGTTCTATATTAAATTTTAAAAATATTAATGTTCTAAAATCAGCATGTAGTGACATAATTCTATTTTAGAATAGATTTTTATAGGTTCAACAATAATAACTCTATTTTAAAATAAACTTTTTATAGGTTCAGCAATAAGTATAGCAAATATTAAAATTAAAATATTCTAAAATTAGCAAGTGAGAAGTTTCTAGCTAGGAAAATGTCTCATATTTGCATATTAAAGTGCATATTTAAAAATTTTAAGATATACAAGTGCTGCCAAAAACTACTAAGGATATATAAGCGCCGAGTAAGACCTATTGGATATTCAAGCGCAAATAAGCCTTTGCATATGGTTTTCTATAGCCTTCTTTCGATATTAGCTTTTGCACTTACCAAAAAAACAATTGATAGCACATCGTATCGTTCTCTGAGGTACGGACATAATTCACATAACCAATTTAGTTATTTCATCAAGGCTAGCTACTAAGCCCATCAAAGCAACAATTTGAAAGAAAGGAAGGGGTTATCAAAGCTCAGAAATAACGCATCATCAGTCATCATAAAATATTAAGCTCGCACACCTGGACGTTGTTAAGGCCAACCAGATAGCACAAAAGATTTTATATACGCATACATGCCTTTATGTACATACAAAGTTTCCGCTGTGGTTGCCGAAAAGGGACTCAAAAACAACTGCTTCCACCTCCCGACCAACCATTCACCCATCACTTCACTCTGTAGTATCCATCTCCATGTCCTCCTTGTTGTGCGCGGTGCGGAAGCGAGACAACCAAACGGGCGTGCTTCGAGAACCAAATCAAACAAACGCTGAGATAAAGGCCGAACAAATCAAAAACAACGGCACAAATCCAAACACAATAGTTTTACGTGGTTCGGCAAATTGCATACGTCCACGGGGCAAGAAGGGGATTGATTTTTCACTAATAGAGAAGAAGAGTACAAACTGATATTACAAAACGCTCAAACCAATCAACTAATCTCACCAACAAATCTCTTAATCTCTCCAGATAAACCCTCAAACAATTGCTCAGAAAAACTCTCCTTTTTTGTGCTCCAAATATCCCTAACCAATCTCCAATCAAAGCCAAAGAAACCCTAGAATGTGTATTGGTATTTATACAAACACCAAAACCTAATAAGAACAGGAAAATAATTCTGGGCCTGACCCGTTACACGGTCGACTGCCACGGTCGACCGCGACCAACAAACAGAACTTGAAATCACTTACAGGATCTGGCGATCGACCGCGACAAACGACAGAGCCCAAATTCGCTGTAGAACCCCGTATTTTTTTTATTTATATGAATATATGTGAATTATTAGTAAATAATTAATTCTTTCATGATAAATAGCTTGAGGTCATTGATGTACATGATAACAAGTTATTTGAGATGATATGAGAATATGAGTGTAGAGTTTTGTGCGTTGGTTTTGCAAATAAGCAAAACAAAGTTATTTGAGATGATATGAGAATATGAGTGTAGAGTTTTGTGCGTTGGTTTTGCAAATAAGCAAAACATGCACAAAATCAAAAATTTTCCAGATCGGTCGACACATCAGTTGACTGACGGTACCAGTCGACACATCAGTCGACTGATACGCTGATTTCCAGTTTTTACAGGTTTCGGGTCTGTTTTGTTTTGGTTCGGGTTTGGGTCGGGTTTAGCTGTTCATATATATTCTCCTTCACCCGAAATCATCCCCTCTCATCTTCAAATCAGAGAAAAACCCTAGCCCCTCTCCCCTATCTAAAACCCTAGCTTTGTTCTTAGTGATTTGGGGAAGAACTTGTAGGATTTTCGTCGAAATCTTCTCATTGCAGCGAAGGGGAACCTCTCTCTCTCTCAGATCCAGGAGTTGTTCATCACCTCAGAGGCGAGTAACATCTCACCCAACTTTGTCCCTTTTGTTTTACACGAATTTATTGAGTTTAATGAGTTTTTATTGAGCCAAAAACGTATTTTTAGTACAAAGAATAAATCTTTATGGTATATGATGTGAAGTTTTGAGCTTCTCAGTTTATAAAAAGATCATCAACGTTTTATTAAAGAGATCTAGATCTGAAAACATTTGACAAGAGTTATTTCATGATTTTATTGATTTCAAAACGTATAAAACATGTTTTTATGTGTTTAAGGTTTTTGATAAATGTTTACATGTAGATCTTTCATTCCAGTTTGGTACATATATGTTGATATCAGTATTTTTCATGCTTGGGATTGATGGGGATGAGTTTAGATCAACTTTTGGGTGAATAACAACCTGTGCAGAGTTTTTGCAGTCCATCAGTCGACTGATCAGTCGACCGACGGGCTAAAATTTTAGTCATCAATCGACTGATGGGTTGGTTGTGTTTTCTCAGCTCCGCAGTCGACAGATCAGTCGACTGGTGAGCTGAGGTTGTGCTGCCTGAGCTTGTCAGTCGACATATGAGTCGACTGACGTCATCAGTCGACACATCAGTCGACTGATGAGTTGTTTTACAGATTCTTAATCTGTTTGAGTTACTTTTCGTGGTCGCCTCGATGACCTGATACCAGTTCACCATGCTAATGATTTATCTATACATGTGGGTTGACTTTTGACACAAGTTTAGATATGTACACCGAGACGTGTGTGAGTTTAGAATATGTATATTAGTCCGCATATACTTTTCACAGTTACACAGTCCTCGTGTTGGACTATAATCCATAGAAGTCCTCGTGTTGGACTATAATCTATTTTTGTCCTCGTGTTGGACATTTGCCACTTATTCTATGTGTTTGGAAACCACAGTATCTAGTTCATGTATCGGACATATTTCTTAACCCTGTATATGACTTTCTCACAGGAGTTTATGACATGACACTTATGTAGATTATGACATGATATTCATGTAAGTAATGACATGATACTCATGTAGGCTATGACATGGCACTGTATTTATGCTCTGAGATTAGTTGTATTCCTTTTATTATTGTTCCTGTACTAGAACCTCGGGTTTGGTGTTTAGGGATTTACAATTTGAGATACAAGGTATATACATGAGGGTTTCCTTGTTTGGATTATTTCGCTCGACGTACCTATGCTCGTGTTGTAAATTCCTAAATACTAAAATCCTCTTTAGTAAGATAAATGATTTTTGATCTATTATGTATTATCTGTATTTTCTTATACAACGAACTCTGTTCCCTTAGGGTTGGTTGTGATGTTGCTCGCTAGCGCTTTGACGCTCGTTGTCCCTCTCCCTTTCAAGTAACGAGCCAGGAGCCCGGAGAGCCGCAGGTTGATGGCGAGGCATTTTAGCTTCAGCTGTTTACTTAGATATATTTTCTTTTGGGGTTCCACAGTAGACTTTTGTTTAGGTATTTGAGAGTTTTATTCTAGAAGTTGTAAAGGCTGTGTGCCTTATTTCCTCTTGTCAGATATTTATATTTAAGACTTGTTGAGTATTCCAGTTTATCTATTCAGACATTGACTATGTATTTCTGTATGTTGGATGATGAGATATCAATGTGATCACTATCACTTCATCAGTTATTTCTTGCACTATCTTTTACTTGCTTTTGTACCTACACCTATTATTGACTCTACTAGATAGATATTAATTGTGATGGTGAAACATGTTATTGCATGGTGTGGTGCATGGTAGGTTTGACTTTCTTGGTTTCACCTTGGACTGTAGCCTTGTGTGAACCCAGGGGCGTCACAGTTGGTATCAGAGCTCTAGTTCCAGTATCCTTAGGATCATCCTGTGTCGAGTCGTGGAGGTAGGATAGAGTTTCTTAGGATTCATGTATAGAGTCCGTAAGGATTTCCTAGTATGAGTGAGGACGATATATGCGTATATCTCAAAATTTGAGAATTTTTTTTTATATAATGACTATTTTTCTATAAGTTTAAAGTATTTGTGCAAATACTATATGTTGTGAAAATTGTATTATGATACGCTATTTATAGAGGTCTATTTTGACTCATAAACTCTTATTTTCTTATGATCAGAGAGATGGCAGGACGTGGTAGGCCTCGTACTCGGAGAGCTGGGTAGGCAGAGTCACAGCAGACTCCCTCTGAGCAGCAGCCAGCTCAATCCGAGCCCCAGCAGACTCCACCCGATCATGGCTCCTCTTATTGTCCGGATGACAGCCATTAAGGAGTTGGTGACGACTCATATAGCACCACGGACACCACCACCACCGGTAGCTCAGCAGCAGGGGATACCCGCCGTTCCTGTCAGAGAGAGATCCCCAGAGATCACGCCTACAGCTGTTCCTCTAGCAGTCCCAGATAGAGCCACAGAGCAGGAGACTTGGCTCCGTATGGTAAAGAGATACCAGAAGATGAGGGCACCAGAGTTTCAGGGATCACCAGACCCTCTTGCAG